TCTTTTGACAGTATTGTTTGATAAAGGCACATACGTTTTACTGCTTTTTTGTCAAGCAATCAATATATTATATCGTTAACACACGGTTTTATGAGGCTTTTCAGCGATGGTATGAGCTTTACCTACCTGTGCCACTCGATAACTTATCATGTAAGACGTTAGGTAGTTTTCATTAACAATTTTTCCATTTTTTCCATGAGTTTTAATGAAGGTTTGAGGAGCAGCCAATTCGGTGCACTTCCTCATGAAAAAATCAGTCTGTTTCTCCCGGAGTTCTGGCTATGTACACTTCGCCCAAATCACACAGAGCTGTACCCCAGTCAGCCTCTATAAGTCCAAAACTCTAAGTAGCTGGTAGCTGTCGCGGTACTTAAGCGTTTTAGATATTCCACTTCTTTCAGTTTTTTCCTAAATTATATTGACTTCCGTATTAAATCGCCCTGACCTCTAGTTTATCAACAGCTGTGTCTATGATCAAAGAAAATTTCCAAGCTTCACCGCGTCCCTCGCTCTGTCACAATCATATAAAAACAGCCGAACACAAATTCATGTTTCACAATTTCACACAAATATGACACCACAAAAATAGCACCACACTTTATGTGAGAATGAAATACTTGGTTCAAAATTTATATTTACATCTGTATTGTATTTTTTACAATTTACCCAGAGCCTGAAGATGACCAGAATAAAGGTCGGCAAAAAAATGAAAAAAGTTTTCTTTCTAAAATACTGCATGCTCGACCACTCCTCACACTTCAACAAAAAAATAATAATTTGAACAGACTCCTCCAAAACTTTCTTAAAAGAGAGTGGCATTTTGTTTCACAACTAAAGCAAGCCTGTGGAGTGCTCAATGACTGCTGCTGCAATCCCTCGATCTAAGTATTGTTTGATGAAGGCACATACGTTTTACTGCTATTTTTGTCAAGCAATAAAGATACTATATCGTTAACACACGGTTTTATGAGGCTTTTCAGGGATGGTGGCTTTACCTGCCTGTGCCACTCGATAACTTATCAAGTAAGACGTTGTGAGTTTTCATTTACAATTTTTCCATTTTTTCCAGTTTTAATGAAGGTTTGAGAAGCAGCCAATTCAGTGCTGCTCCTGAAAAAAATCAGTCTGTTTCTCCCGTTGTTCTGGCTATGTACCCTTAAAACTACAACGTAATCTAACTGTATTTCGCCCAAATCACACAGAGCTGTACCCTTGTCAGCCTCTATAAGTCCAAAAATCTTCCGGTACCTAAGCTTTTTTGATATTCCACTTCTATTAGCTATTTGACCTACACCTGTTCAGAGAGATTTGACATGCTGGATCGTGTATCCTATTGAGATGCTTGGATCTGAATCGTCTTCATTTGGCTTGTTGTCAGTAACGTCCTCATCGGAATTCAACTAATCAGAAACCTCTTCCATTGGTTGAAAAGTAAACAATCGCCAAAGATTTAGATTCTCAAAATATGTAAAGAGTGATAATGATATTTGTTTCCATTAACTCCTTGTTATGTTCATTGTCCCCACCCGACTGAGGATTAGCCATATGCAGTTGACACACGGGCAACTGCTCTTGGGCCAAAGCTGGCGCAGGTGCCCCTTATGCAGAGGAAGGTTGCTCGATGTGTCCCGCATACTAGAGGCGTGTCATGCCGTGGCTCCATACAGAGAGCGTGTAGGCATGCCGCCGGATTTAAGAATGGTCCTCGGACACGGTAGCAAGTTTCAGAGTTCCCCGTTCCGCTTTTTATGGGAATTGGGTATTTTTAGGGTATATGGCCGACCAAATATGTGTTTTCTGTTTCTGTGTTTTGTATGAGTGAGTGTACTTGGTGTGACTTGGGACGATGGCGGAATATTTATAAAAGTACCCCATCGACCCCAATTGGATTGGTTTGTAATGGCGTGCAGACTGATGGAGGAATATTGAGTTCTCCATCCACCAACTAGAATGAATACAATGTATGTAGATGTGAATGTATTTATTTGTGTGAATACATATTGAATTTGTGTTGCAATATTTCGCGTGTGCTCGGGGTTGAAATGACCAAACTGTCTGATTCCCCTTTTAAAAAAACTTGTTTCCAATTTCCCAGCCTTACCATATTTAATTTTGCTGTTGGAAACAAAAAATAAAACTTGGAGAAAAGATAAATATATGTATATGTTATAAAAGTTGGTGGGGAACAAAAAATAAAGGCTTGGATATATTCTGCTGAAAGCTCGACAAGAATTTAAATGTCGTTTCTGTCTTCTTGGCCTCATCCCCAATCTACTGAGAGAAAAATATTGAAAAAATTAAGGTTTTAACAACAAAGAGTATGTAGAGATTTCTCCAATAAATTTTTATTAATATACCTCAAACATACATGCTATTTTTATTTTCACTAAAAAAAGCATAAAATGATGTAAAAATAAAAATTATTGTTATAATCTGTTCAAGCTTTAAAAATATAACAAAATAATGTTTACTTAGTCAAGAAACAAAAATAATAACATTGTTCAATGATTTTCCGTTATCTTTTACTTTGTTGCACTGTAAAAGATGTCACTTCCAAAAATAATAATAATAACTAAGTTAGAACATTTTGTCGCCCTATTGTATAATTTATGCAATTACTCATAATTTTTTGTAATAGACATTTTTAATTTGTATGCCTCAACTCACACACAGAACATAAAATACAATATCTAAAAATTCAATACATATTTATATTCTCCTTTTAAAGATGATAAACTGATGAAATGCAAGCATATTTATAAATTCACGATGCTTAAGTATTCTGCAAGCGATATTCTTGAAATATTTGACACTTTTTTCTTCTGTTTTATTTGTTTTTGATTGAAAGAATGCTGATTCGAATTTAAACCTAGGGTACAAAATAGTAAATAAATGATATCAACTGGCATTTTCCTCAATAGTCGTATACACAATTAACCACTACAGAAATATCTCGATCACAAAATTTTCGATTAAAAAAGTTATTAAGCTACTTAGAAATTCAATCACAATATTATAAATCTGTAGATTACATTTTTTTGCCTTAATTAATTATACAGTTCTCTGTTATTCCGCAAGAATTCAAAAAATATTAATCTTTCAATTATCGTCTACAAATTAAAAATAAATAAAGACGTTTATTAAAGCATCTCGAATAACATTCTTCTTCTTTTTTTTTAAGTTTTACTCTAGTTTTTGAAAACTATGTAGCAAAATATAACCAACAGGCAGAATTAATAATTTACTTAGCATGCTATATGAACAGTTTTATTTTTTATACTTCGCCTCACTAACAAGCAAATACAAATGAGCCGAGACAAGATGTGAAGCTACTTGAGGAAACGACACCCCCAGGATAGATATTAAGAAAATGAAAGTAAAGCTTTTCCTTTGTTGATTATCATAATTATTATTATTACTATTATGATTATTTATTAAATATTGCACATAATTATATTCTGTATACTCGCTCTTATATAAAAAAGGTTTTTGTTTTGTCAATAAACAAAAGTCTTAATAATTCCTTTTCGATCAAGAAACAAATTTAGTGAACTTGAAGGCTTGCAACCGATAATTTTTAAACTATCATTACTTAATTATGTGAATTTTACTTTGTAAATAAGATTTATTCAGATTTGAAACATATTTTTAAAAAGTATAGTCTAAGTAATCCGAGAGCTCCGTTTTAGTTGGAATTTATTTTAAAAAGTTCTCTTAATTTCATTCTTGTCTTAAAATGTAACGTTAAAGAAAACTGCAAAATAACAAATTATTTTTACTTTTAAAAATTTTTGAAAGAAAATAGTTAATAAATTTAATATAAGTGACCATAGAAAAATAAATGCTGAATGATTTTTGCTAAACACAAAAATTTTACTATATTAATAACGCGTAGTACTTAAACTTTTAAAATTTCTGATTAAGAGTTTTTCCCACTTTAAAATTAGAATATTTTTGTTTTCTTTGTAAATATTAATTTAAAATCATTTGAGCAAAATTTTACAATACAAGGACTAGAAAATTGAACCAATTTCCAGAAAGCCAAAATTTATTGGTTGCACGTTTATACCATGTCTAAATGACAATTATCAAAATGTCAAATTGTACTTTTGTATACATTTCTAAATTGTATGGTAACGAATTATTGCTTTTGCGAACATATTAAAAAATATACTGTAACGGCCTTAAAAGTATTACTTATACAAATTTTACAATAATAATAATAACTATTCTGTTAAAACTAAGACTATAGATTGTGTTGATGCTAAATTTTTGTTGCCTTTGAGCAAAATAAACGTTTCCACAGCACTGTAAAAAGGTTGCATTGCAATGTTATTATGTCTTAAATTGTTTTAGTCTTAAATAACAATTTAGCTCTAAATTTATTTCTTTTTATTAAAGCCATTTAATTTAATGATAATTAGAGAGCCAGATCAAATTACATTTATTCTTAAATATTATAAATGCAAATATATTTTTAAAAATAATGCTTTTTGAGTTTATAAGAAAAAATATTTCTTTGCAAATGCAAGGGTAATATATTTAAAAAAGCAAAAAATTTATATATCCATAACTACACACATAGTCATAGCGAAAAACTTGCCGAAATGTTGAAACAAACTAACAAACAAATTAAATGGAAAATATTTTAAACAGTATATTCTTTTTTCCCCCAGGAAGACACAATTATTGTTAAGAGGCCAATATGATTTAAAAAATTTAAACATTTGTCATGTTTTACTACTCGATCCTCTCATTTTTTTTAAATTTTAATTTCATATAATATGACTTCTTAAAAATTACACCTATATACATAAACACAAACATTAAGAGGCAATTAACTTTTTTTTATATTGGTGTTTTGTTATACTTTTCAACCAGTTAATCAGTCAAAATAAATTGAAATTAAGAGCACGGGCTTCGCAACAGAATACGTATGTCACAATCTGTTTTGAACTTTGCTAACCGAGTAAAGTAGTGGCGTAAGAAAGTAATATCTCATATTTCAGAACTCTGTCATTGTTGAGATTCCTCCTCACTTTGCTGGACACCAGTACCATCGCTTCCTTCCGCTTCACAACCACTCTCCCAGTCTTCACAACTTCCATCTAAAACAGAAGGAAAAAACAGTACAAATTTATTATCTGTAAATTGTGGATTTTTTTTGAATAGACAAAGTAATAATAAAAATAATACACACCAAAATTCAATCACAACTACCATAATTGTTAATATTATCACCTCATTTTTAAATTAATCTACTTTCAATGGTATGATATATCCTAAACAGATGTAATAATAAATTAAACAAACGAAATAATTGAAGATGAAAGAAAAAAGTTCAAATATATACAATTTTAAAAAAATGAAAACTCTAAGTCACAGGCATGTTTGGTACATGATCTTCAGGTAAATACTCCGATCCTTTACCACTTGAGCTTACCAAGGACTTTGATCAACCATGCCACAGACTTCTCGTATCACATTTGCTTATTTGAAATTTGTACACAATTAGAAAAATTGTACAAAATTAGAAATTTGTAAACAATTGCTATCAGTACTTGTTTTAATCCTTAAGTTAGCTACTTTATTTTTTTATTTTTTATTAAAATCGTGAAAGATTTTAGGTGTTTTTTTTTAAATAGTATTAAACAGCTTCTAAAGACCAATCGAATAAAAAAAATATATTTTAAAAAATCGAAAGGGATCATGATTCGCGAAGGTAAATTAATTAAGGCAACGAGAGCAGTGGTTTGGGAAATATTGTGAGAATTGGAAAATTATATGTTCGAAATGATGAGCAATGCTGCTAATGATGCCAAATAGATTGAAGCATTTCTTTGTTTATTTAGTGATGAGTGGAGAAGCAGATATTTATTTATTTATAATTTGCTAAATTTAATCAATAGATACCAAAAACAAATTATTTTTTCCATTTCAAACCAAAAACTATTGGACAAACGCCCCAGCCAAAAAATGGTCATTGTAATACTAAGAAGGAAATATTGGAAAATTCACAAGAAATGCTGATTTACATGAGGATCAGGAAAGTACTACTTGTTTACAATTTAAGGATGGAGATTTTTTTGTGTAGCTTATTAATTAATCCAAACAAATGCCAAATTTGACAGATTCAATTGAGTAGTTTCAGAGTAAACAATTTTCAAATCTTGAAGCCTTATTTGAAGCACTATCTTAAATAATTCACTATTTTTCGTGGTCTGCTTGACCAATTAATAACATTCAATTAATTAAGGTTTTAAGTTGAGATAAAAAAAAGTCGGTGTCACGAGCGGGATTCGAACCCACGACCTTCGGCTAGATACACCACTGCTCTACCACTTGAGCTATCGTTACTTCGATCACCTCGGGTACTACCTTCCCATCTCAACCCCACCTTTTGAATTTTCCCTCCTTTTTGCTTGACTTTTTTATCTCAACTTAAAACCTTAATTAATTGAATGTTATTAATTGGTCAAGCGGACCACAAAAAATAGTGAATTTAATGAATTGAAATGAAGTACACTTCACTAAAGCTCTTTGTGGCCATTTCATTTGTCGCCGAGAATCCAATCCAATTACACGACATTTGAAAAATGGCAAAAAGGAGAGAAAATTCAAAAGATGGGGGTTGAGATGGGAAGTTAGTGTCCGAGATAATTGAAGTCACGATAGCTCAAGTGGTAGAGTAGCGGTGTATCTAGCCGAAGGTCGTGAGTTCGAATCCCGCTCGTGACACTGACTTTTTTATCTCAACTTAAAACCTTAATTAATTGAATCTTAAATATATTTTTTTTTTTTTTTTTTTTTTGACACCATGAACAATACAAAAATTATTTTTTATAGAATTAATTACGAAAAATATGAAGTTTTATTTATTTGGTTGAGTGCGGGTTGATTACTTGAAGGATTTTTATCAAAGTCTCATTCACCATTCTGTGAAGATCGAACGATTTCCCAATGAAGTGAAAAGGTTGATGAATTAGGGCATAAAACAAAAGTCCTCCCCCAAGTAATGAATATCACAGACAATTATTTTAAAAAAATTCAGATTCTCCTCTTTTAATGGTTTAAAAAATATTCGAGGCTAGTGAGCTCCAGGTTCAAGATTTGGTTGATCAATCCACAAGAGACAATCATAGTCAGAGGCAGTCTCCATGAGGACAAGGAAGAAATTGTAAAAAACATAGTGGGTCAAGTGTAGATCCAGTGGTGTATGATCTAAGGGTGCGAAAGGTTATTCCCGAAAAGAACGTTGCTGATCATGGTGAACAAGATGCAGCCTGAAGTTGAAGAGTGATCTTTATGAGGCCTGATAATTCAGAACTTTAGACAGTAGGTGTATGTTTCTGTTGTCTTTATTATTAGTTTAATTTTTACAAAATGTAAATTTAGTGCTAAACAGAATAATTGTTACTTGTATTCATTTTTTTATCATGGTTTAAACCATAAATATAAGACATTACTTGTGTTAATAAATTAACTTCTGTGGAAGTAGGAAATGCTTTATTACATTAATTCCGAAAGTATAACCTTGGGAGGAAGCATAATTTTATTTGCAAAAAGAGGAGCAAGAAGCACTACATCGGTTGGCTGAACACAGGAAATCGTATCTGAATTTCCAGGGGTTTTTTTTCTTCTTCTTTCTTTGTATTTTATTATTTTGTTTTGTTTTATTTTTATTTATTTATTTTACTTAATTTTTTTTTAATTTTTTTGGGGGGGTTCGGTGTGGATCCCGCCCCAATAATATTATGACACCCTTAATGGGTGGCCTTTAAGTATTATTTTTAAGTACAATGGCATTACCTTGGGTATTATCAATGGAAGACAAACGCGACATATTGTCAGGCCAGTAGCGATGTGGGGGAGTTTTAGTTCCATTACAAGATTTTGTTTTTCTCGAACTACTGCTCTGTTTAGAATTGGCCACTGCGCCTGAAAATTATTTCAAAAATTATTTGCAGACTGATTAATCAAGTGAAACAGCAAACACAAATTAGTGACATACCTGCAGATTCTGACGGTGTCGAAGCATCGAGCATAGGTTGGAGAATTCGACGCCTTGCATTTATAAACCAATTGTTAACTTGTAATAGTGTAAGTTCTGTTTGAGCTGCTATTTGTCTTTTTTCATCTTCAGTGGGGTAGGGGTGCTAAAAGAAATATATTTTGTATTATTTTTATGTAACTGTATTAAAACAAAAAAAACTTACAACTAAGTGTTGAAAAAGCCATGTCCGCATTATGCTTGTGGCTTGTTTAGGGAGAACTCCTCTTTTCTGTTTCTTTCTTAATCCAAGCGGATCATCATCTTCATCACAAGATCCTCCACTCGTCGCTGATAGAGAACCTACAAAAATTTTATTTAACTGATTCTAAAAGCAGCCTTTTTTTTTTTTTAATTACTCACCTTGGAGAAGACTGCTCTCCTGAGGCGGAGGGCAGGGATTAGCACCAATTTGAGAGAGAGGAGTACTCCCGTGTATTCCTGGAGAGGGTGGGCATGCCGGAGAGAGGGGTGGAGCAACAGCATCCCCCATGCCACCTCCCCCAACACCCATAAGTCCACTCCAACCCACCGGTGACACCTATCACAACTAATCACATAGAATCATACTCTTTTCTACTGATTTCAAGGTATTGAAAATTAAAAAAAATGTGAAGAAAAAAAATATATATACGATATATAAAATTAACACAAAGTAATATAATTAAATAGTTACCTGAATGTTATGGGGAGAATGAGGCGTGAAAACAGTAGGACTGTTGCTGTCACTTGAATGACTGCTGTTGTTGTTGTTATTTTCAAGGTATCCAGCTGCATAATCTGATCTGAGGAGATTCTCACTTTGCATCTTTCCTTTAAGAGCAGTGATGTAACGGTTGCAAAAATCTTTGCAAAGTTCTTGCACTTTTTCCAGTTCAAGAAGATGGATTCTGAGTACCTGAATAGCTTTGATCATCTAAAGGAAAATAAAAATAAGAACATAGTACCATAATATTTGGTGGACCGGAAAGTAATGTTGCTTTTTTACAATAAATTCAAACAAATTAATTTTTAATGTTTTTATTTTTAATCAATGAAGTTCTCAACAACCTTTTTCCATATAGTGTGCAAATTTTCAAAGCAGGATCTATAAAAATCAATTGGTTTTTGATAAAAATATCTAGATATGGCATTTTGCACATCATCCCAATTTTTAAATTTTTTGCCATGTAGAAATTGTAGTGGAATAGGAATTGTTGTAAGGAAATCAGATGGCCCAATATCGGGCGAGTAGGGAGAGTGAGGCAATATCTCCTACCCCAATTCATTAATATTTTTCCAGGGTTCGTCTTGCCCAGTGCGGTCTTGCATTATCTTCTTACATAATAATGCCTTGTCTGTTGACAATTGCAGGGCACTTTTCAATTAACGATTGATTTATTCAATCTAATTGTTCACAGTTAAGGTCTCCATTCACAGTTTATTCAGGTTTCAGCAGCATGTGATGGACCTGTTAGCTTTGTTTTCTTCAAACAGATTATGCTGGATCCTAACACCTGCTCTACTTACTTTAACAAACTGCTGCACATGTTCTTGGATGGTCAACCAAGGTTGGTTAAGAGTATTTGACAGTTCCTCAATTGTCTGACATGGATTTCCTTCTACTTCCGCCCTTAACAAGTCATTGTCTAAAGTTGTTGGTCTTACTGGTCGATTCATGTCGGAAAGATCAAATTTACCGGATTTGAACTTAGAAAACTACCTTTACCATTTACAAACGTCTAATGCACTTGAATAAACATCACAAATGTTTTTTGTTGCAACTGTTGTTACTACTCTTGTGAAATTTAAAAAGTATACAGTGCCAGATATGTACCTCTTCTTGGTATTTGGCTGGCCATTTCACATAAATTGCAAAAAAAATAAGAATCTTAAAATGTCTTTCGCATGACTTTGAAGTAGACAACGAGCTGATAAATGACTAACAAATACTGACATGAGCAGAAACGACATTACTTTTTAATCCCTCTAATATATATCAGCAAATTTATTGTAAATTTTATTAAAAGTTTCACATCAACTGATGAATTATTATTAGATAATGAGGTAGATATTGGAGATCTTAACAACACTAATCATCCCAATAAGCTATTTTTTTATTTTCCCTGTTTTTTATGTTTTTCTGAATCACCCGACCGCATCTCACGATATCTGAATAACTATTGATTAACGGTTACTAATCTCTACACATTTTAGAAAATGACAATAGACTAGCTCACGGACAAATCAAATCACAATCTTGCTGTAAACTTATATACCTCAATAAGCAAGTTTTCAATAAGCAAAAGGGTATTTTATTGAGCAAGTCAGAGACACAAAAGGAACTTTTTTTTCAATGGATACCAGGAACTGGAGGAGTTCCCCCTGAGCACAGCAGCTATATTATTTGGCTCCACTTTTGGGGGGCTCGCAACACGAGTGTGAATTTGAGCCCCCGGTGTGCTGGTGTTCTTCCATCGAAGAAACTCATGTTTGAAGGGGGTTGGGACCAAATTCAGGGACACTGAGATCTGATCCCGCCCCTTCTATTGATGAGTGCCGTGTCAATTTCTTTCAATTGCAGCCACCGGTCCCCATTAGGCAACAGAAAAAAAAGTCTTAAAAAATTAATAATACTCAGTTATCTGCTGTGATTTTTTAAGTAAATATTTGAAGAAATAAAAACAACCTGCAGATTAACAAATAAACCAGTAATGATCTCATCACAGAATCATCAATATCATTAATATTTTAATGACAATAAGTCGACAGGTTTGGTTAGTTTAGATTTTATTTTTTATTCACCCTGATGAAACAAGGTTTCACAGTAGATAGTTTTTGGCTATTTTTATTTTATGAAAAAGTGAGAGCTATCTTGGACAAAGTGTTACTGTTTTATTATTAGAAAATTATTATCACCAGCATAGAATAATTCAATTTTTTATCAATTTTTTTCATGATCTAGGAGATTGTAGTCAGATAACTCTGTGACCTGCAGAGATTAGTGAAATTTTTGCATTTACAGTTATAAAAAAATCAGGAAGAACAGTATAAAAGATTTTCAAATTCGGAGAATCCTTCAGAGTTATTTAACCTAATAGGTTATACCTTTTGTTATTAATATAATACAGGCAGGTAGCTCTGGGGATAATTTCCTACCGGCACAGCCCAATTACTTAAATTGCCCCAGGTAACTTCAATTGTGGAATTATAATTTCTAAACAATTTCCATTTAATTGCCCAAAAGCGATGATAGATTAAAGAGGGTTATTTTTTGTTACATCACACTCATTTACTGACCAGTCCGTCGATTTCAGCATCGTTGACTAGAAATGGCTTGTGATCCCTTTCCTGGTGTTGGACAAAAGCCTGGATGTCCATGTTGAAGTTTTCCGAATTTGGGGTCTCGGCTAATTGTGTAGCCTGTTCGCATCGTTCAAAAAGAAGAGCCAGCAGGGGGAATAACGGGTGCCTGGAAATGGAATAATTGTTACAAAGGATAATTGAAGCGTGGAGTGAGATAATTAGCATACTTGTAAACAGCCCGTTTGTCTGCTTCAAAAACTGCCTGGTCCTGAACAATGCCAGCTTGTGAACCAACAATGTTATCTGGATAGGAAACCATTGCAATTGTGTTTTCTTGCATCTCAGCCCATCTAAAAAACCATTTACAATTTTATAACAAAATAAAAATCTAGAAAATAAAACTTGTCATAATTTTTTACACAGATTTGCTTGTTTTGTAGATTTGTGTTTAATCTAGGATGAATGAAACAGCTACATTTCATTTTAAACATTTACTAGCTTATTAACCGAATTAATATTTGCACTGGATATCAAATTATGATGAAAAACAAATGCTTAAATTTACTTCAAAACAGAGATCATTTATGATTCACGCAATACTAATGAAATATTTATTTAAAACATAGTAAATAATCAATAACAATAAAATTAATTATAATAAACATATAATAAAAAATATAAAATATTATAAACAATGGAGCCTAGTCAATTTTATTATATAAGTGAATACTCGCCAGATTAATTGTATGTACTTATTTGATATTTTACTGTAGTCTGATGATCAATGACGATTTCTCCCAATTGAAAAGAAAGGCAATAATTGTTTTAATCTTTATTTTATTAAAGTGGGAGAGTTATATAAATGATGTTTTTTATGTAATATTTTTTCCATCTTGTTTCATGTTAATTTTGTTTATTATTAAAAAATGTAGACTAGTGATTCCCAAACTATGCACCACAGCTCTGCGGCGCCACAAAAATTTTCTATAAAAATATTATTTTTATATCTACAAAAAATATCTTAAAAATTAAACCTCCCTTTATAAAACCCTAAACACTAAGAACCTGATGGCCATCCAATCTCCATATAGATGTTAACGAGACGACTGCAATTGTGTATTTTATATTATTGCTCAAAAAAAAATGTTATTTTTGCTATTAAGTGTGTAATCGCTTTTCAAAAGGCAAGTTTTTCAATTTCACAAGAAAGTCAGAAGTTTTTATCATTTATTAAATAAACAGCAACAAATTGCACACAAAATAAGAGGTTTTACATATATCAATGCTTTCTGAATGGAAATGAATGACTACTAAAGTTCATGCTGAGATAGACCATTGTTTTGACTTGGGGCGCCATGGAAAAATTCTGATATTATATTAAGAGTGCCAGAAACAGAAAAACTTTGGGAACTCTGTTGTAGACTAATTAATATTGATTAATTTTAATTCGGTAAAGAGCATAAACATATATTTTTAACCAATACTGCATTGTATTGATTATTTATTATTTTATAGAATAAAATTCCATTAGTATTGTATAAATGATCAATTTTTTCTATTTTGTCTCTCTCTCTCTCAACACGACACGCAAGAATGGCACAATTACCCAGAAGACAAACACTTTGAGTGAGTAGAAATATTTTGATTGAATATTAAAAAAATATATTTTGCATTGTATAAATTCACTTTTTCACATCCAAAATGTAATTGTAATATGTAGACAATGTTTGTAAATCCCAGGCCCTGAAGATGATCTCAATACAGATCAAAACGTTGGCACAATAAAGAAAATGTTTTTCTGAAACCTACATCACACCAGACCGCATCTCACGATTTCTGAATAATTTGTCTATTTTGATGGTGGCCAAGTGGTTAGGGCATCTGACTTGGTATTTGCCATGCTAGCAGATCTTGGTTCGAATCCTGATATAGTCCACGAAATTGTATTCATAATGATAATAAAAAAAAGTAATGTAAAGTGGTTTGGCCCATTATCTGTCATATACGATGGATAAGTGTATGTTAACCCCCCCTTTGATTACGAATTTAAAACTATTTCTAATTATTTACACAGATAATCATTATCAGATAATCATAATGTTTATATTTGTTAGCCGTGTAAATCATTAAAAATAGTTTTAATTTCCTAATGAAGAAGATATATTTTTCGAAATTTTGACAAAGGAACTGATTGTTTTCCATTCTTTCAGTTTCATATTATCCCTGATTATTTTTATCTAAAACTTGTGATAAACAGAAATGTTATATTTCATTTTACAAAATATTTATAAACTATTACCATATTCCAAATGAGAATTTTTTTTTGTTTTGAACAAAGGATTTAAACTTGACTTTTAGTTTTATACTTTTAAATTTGTAAATTTAGATTAAATTTTATATCTCTTAAACATATTTCTTTTATTTCACCTTAGTAATAATTATTAAATTATTAATGTAAAAATTATTATAAATAAATTTTATAAATGAGAATTTTTGCCTGTTTTGAACAAACGATGTAAACTTGTGTTTTGTTTTATACTTTTAAATTTGTAAATTTAAGATTAAATTTTATTCTCTCAAACATATTGCTTTTATTTCATGATAGTTAAGAATCGATTCGCCTATTAATATAATGTTAACATCCATTAAACAAACGTCTTACTCTTTGGATAAAATAGTCATAAACAAAACAAGAGAACTATACAAGGAAGAACAGGAATATAAAGAATTTGGTGTCATATGCTTTTAAATTTATAATTTCCTCAATGGGTTGGTCTGTCAGACGCATTTAGGCATTTTGCCGTCATCAATTCTGAGTTGGAGAAGCCAAATATAATCTAACAGGACGAAACAGCAAAGACAGGCTGATCAGAATGATCGGTAGCATCCAAATTTCAGATTCATCACCGGCAGACCACTCAGAAATATTTTTTTTTAAATATCTTCTGTATTAATATAATATTTGAGGTTCATTAATCTTACTAGTTTCAGAGTTTTGTAGCATTGGCCTATGAATTTAATCTTACATTGCATTAATTTTAATTAAAGTGATCATTTCTCCCAGTTTGAAGATGGAAAAAGCTAAATAATTATTGCATTATAACATTTTTGTTCTTTATGCTTTATAAGCTTACATCTTGCCTTCTACCATATAATTTTTTTACTTTTAGCTTGTGAAAACATTTGAGGACCATTCATTCCTTTGTACTTTCAGTACAGTGTAATATTCGCCTAATATATTTTTATTTTTTTTATTTTTTTATTGTTTTTTTTTAATATTGATCCTGGTCATTACTTTTTATTTTAAAAAAAATGCATTATATATTATAAAAAATATATATGGTATTTGCTTTTCCTCCTGAAATTCAAGTGTACCGAGTATTTGTTTTATTACAACAGTTCACTAGTGTATACGATAATTTTTGCCTATTTTGTGCAAGGAAAGCAATAGTCAATCTATATTGTTTATTATAAAATTTAATTAATATTTATAAATAATAAATTTTATCTGTTTTACACAAGGAAGGCAAAATATATTTTATATTGGCAAAATATATTAGGTTGGTCTAAACCTTCTACCCATGCTGACATTTGTTTCAACTATGTTGCATTATATTTTTTTAAATTTTCAGTTTAGTTAAAATGATCATTTCTCCCAGTTTTTAGAGGATGAAAAGACACATCTTCGTGCTTTATGCTTTTTAGCTTACATTTTTAAATTTAGCATACATCTTTTTTTCCTACTATATAAATTTGTTATTTTCAGCCTGTTTAAATGTTTGAAGACCTTACAATTAATTAATGTTTTCAGTTGAGATAAAAAAGTCAATGGCACGAGCGGGATTCGAACCCACGATCTTCGGCTAGATACGCCGCTGCTCTACACTTGAGCTATCGTGACCTCGATCCACTTGGACCACCAACTTCCCATCTCAACCACACCTTTTGAATTTTCCCTCCTTGCTCGTGCCATTGACTTTTTTATCTCAACTGAAAACCTTAATTAATTGTAAGGTATTAATTGGTCAAGCGGACCACGAAACTAGTGAATTTAAAATGTTTGAAGACCATTCAATTCTTTCAGTACTGTACAGTATTCGCCTTTTTTATATCATAACTTTTTTAATATGGATTCTGGTTTTTACTTTTGATTTTCAAAACATGTGTTGTGCATTTTAAAAAATAATTATAAAAAAAATTTGAAAAAATAGAACAAAACTATTCTATATTTTTTTCTATTGTAATTCAAGTGTACTAAGAATTTGTTTTATACTATCATTTCACTAGTGTAAAGAATATTTTTTGCCTATTTCGTGCAAGGAACATAAAATAATAGTCAATCAACATTATTATTTTATTTTATTAGTATTTTATAAATGATTTTTTTTTTTTTTTTTTAGACAAGGAAAACAAAATACTTTTAAAGTTTTGTTTTTATGTTGGTCAAGTTCCTACCAATGTTGACATTTTTATTCGGCAACTTTCTTGCATTATATTTTTTAATTTTTCTTTTTTCAGTTTAATTAAAATGACCATTTCTCCCAGTTTTGAAGGAGGAAGCGGCATATCTTCATGCTTTATGCTTCTTGGCTGATTTTTTTAAATTTAGCATGCATTTTATTCTGCCATATAAATTTGTTATTTTCAGCCTGTTTAAATGTTTGAGGATCATTCAATTCAGTACCGTGTAATATTCACCTGACAGTTTTTTTTTTTAAATATGAATCCTGATTGTTACTTTTATTTTTTTTTTTTTTAATGTGCTATGTATTATAAAAAAAATAACTATAAACAAAAATAGAATAGAACTATTATGTACTTTTTTCTGTTGTAATTCAAGTGTATTGAGAATTTATCATTAGTGTAAAGGATAATTTTTGCCTATTTCGTGCAAGGAACACAAACTAATAGTCAATCAATATTGTTCATTGTGAAATTTAATTAGTATTTTATAAATGATTTTTTTTCTGTTTTACACAAGAAAGGTAAAATATATTTAACGTATTTTTGTTCGTTTTTTTATATAGGTCTAAACCTCCTACCAATGCTGACATTTTTTCATCAACTTGATAGCATTTTTTTAAATTTCAGTTTAGTTAAAATGATAATTTCTCCCAGTTTTGAAGGAGGAAAAGGCATAGTTTTTTTGTTTTTTAGCTTACATTTTAAATTTTATTCCCAACATACATTTTTCCTTTCTTCTTAGTAGTTTCATGAGGCAAAATAGATTTTTTTTACACCATTAAATTTACAAAATTAAGGTTTTTCTTTCAATTCAGTTTCGTCCAAAAAGGAACAATTAATAAAAATCTTTGTACTTTACACTGTAGTATTATCCTATTAATTAATATTCGTCTTTGTTGTCAACAAGTACAATGCAAGTCCTAAACAAAAATAATTTCAATATCTGACAAATTAATGGAACAAGAAGGGGAAAAAACTATTTTATAATGGCAACAACATGATTGATTAAATAGCGTTGAGTGTGTAGCTCGAATTAATTAAATAAAATATTGTATGGTCACATTGTATTAACTCTTAAATTATTGTATTAAAGCTTAAAAACGTTATTTAGACTTACGTTATTTTAGTGTCCCTCATATTTCCCTGATCTTGGATCGACAGCACAACTGCACATCATGCAATGAATAGTCTTTGTAAAAAAAAAACAACTAAAGTAAAAAAGGAGGAAAGGTCTTCAGCCTTATCCTGTGGTGTTTGATAGTTCACACTCGGCCAGTTTAGGCAAGGCGATAAAAAAAAATAATATAACAAAAATAAATATAAAAAAACAACAACGAAGTGTAATTCGACGGTCGGATTAATCGGACGACTTCATGACCGAGGTGTTAAACGATGTCGGTCGTCGAATAGAGATGGATCTCTATGATTTCCCGTCGTGTAAATATTATAGATGGCGAAATCGCGAGCTGCCGGAGAAGATCAGAGGATCGTAGGTGATGTCAATCAATGGCGGAACGGCTCCCTCTAAACTCTGCTCCTCCCAACAAGCGAGGACGGACGACGTCACGTTACGCTAGTAATAAAATCCAGCCCGCCAATCTTTGAAAACAGTATTACAAGAAGATTCTCAGTTTTTGGTCAACACTTCATCCAAAGAAAAAAGACTCAATATACTTCCAGTCTCTAAGATATCCCACTGACACTTCCCACAGTTTGTAAATCTACTTATGTCATTACTGGCGTCTACTCACGCCTCTATTCTCTTCGACACCTTTGCTTTTCCATTCCACAGAAAACTATAGTTCTCTTTATTAATAATTCCTTCATCCTTTTACAGTAGTACTGCGTATTTTTTCACTTTCTTTAATCAAAGAAAAACAAATTTGTTCTGCTATCTTCCTTGATTTCTGGAGACATCTGGACAGCTATTGATGTCTAGCATAAAGAACTCAGCAGTAAACTAAAAGGGATGCTACCAAAGTAGTATGTAGATATTATCAATTCCTAGCTAACTGTAAAACATTTTAGAGTGAAACAAAAAGATATTCAATATTCAAAATTAATAAATTCAGGAGTGCTGCAAAGTAGCATATAAGATCCACTGCTTTTCTGTTAAGCACCAGTGACTTTCCATAAATAGTTGGAGTAAAATTGCAATGTTTGCAGATGACACAGTGGTGATTAGTACCACCGACCATCAACCAATCAACCAAAATCTACTATCTAGTTTTACAGCAGTGCTGTGTATTTTTTTACTTTCCTTAGTCAAAGAAAAACAGATTCTGCTATCTTCCTTGATGTCTGGAGACATCTAGACATCTTTTGATGTCTAGCATAAAGAACTCAGCAGTAAACTAAAAGGGATGCTATCAAAGCAGTATGTAGATATTATTGGTTCCTGCCTAACTGAAAGACATTTTTAAGTCAAACAAGATCAGTATTCCAAATTAAAAACAATAAATTCAGGAGTGCCACAAGGTAGCATATAAGGTCGACTGCTTTTCTTGGTTCACACCAGTGATTTTTTGAAAATAAATAGAGTAAAAATTGCAACGTTTGCAGATGACCCAGCGGTGATATCAGTACCACTGACCGTTAACCAACATTAACCAAAATCTTTCAAAAGACTTCCAATAGTAGACCATGTTCTATCTCTCACAATCGATGGAATACCATACAGTGGTTTAGGGATCAGGGAGTAACCTTAGATACCAAGCTGAGTTGGCAAGAACACATGATGAAAAATAAGGATAGAAATAGGTTAATACAAACAAATCCTAAACCCTATATGGACATAAGGTGTTCAACTATGGAGTTGTTCCAAACAGAGCAATATTAAAATTATATAAATACTCCAAAATAAAATCTTACGTAACATGTTCAATGTTCCTTGGTACATAAGGAATAAGGACAGACGTAGGGGTTTTGTTGGGCTCAATCTGCTTATAATCTTCAAATTGCTTATCACCCCTATATTAGATATTGTTATGATGTTAAACCAAGAGATCATATTTCTTCCTGTATTAACATCTTTAGCAACGTTATATATATTATGCAGGGTGGGCAACCAAGACCAGGTTTTAAATGCCTGCATAGACTCGTACCCCATCGTCCGGGACTTGGTCGGCTCACATGTCCTGCATAAACCTCTTGGACCTGTTCACAAACCCCAAGATTTTGGACCATTTAATCTCGGGGAGTGATTTGGTGATGTCCTCTCCTTCAAAGATTTCAAACCTAGACCTAGCATACCTATCACACTCTGCAAGGTAGTGCCTTGCCGTGTCTTCTTTTATTTTGCAAAAACGGCAAAAGGGATCTGGTAGGATACCCATTACGAAGAGGTGTCTTCTCAATGGGCAGTGGCCTGTCAGAATACCCATCAGCCTTCTAATTCCCTTCCTTGAGATAGAGAATAGCCATTTCGATTCTGCTGGTTTGATCGCCTTCGATTGCCTGTGTCCAGGGGTTAAATTCCACTCCCTAAGGAATTGTTTCATGCCCCAGTTCATATTCCTTCCTGTATTAACATCTTTAGCAGCGTTAACATTCTAAGCACATATTAAACATAATATTTTGAAATTAAATCAAATAAATGTCCTCAATATCCTTCAACTTTTTTCCGACATGCCTTATCCCAAGCCCTCAATATTCCTCTACAACTTGTAGAACTAAACTCTAATAATTGTAGGGGTAAGACTATGGAATTTGCTAAATCCTTTTAAAAAGACAGTACCTTTCACTTGTGAGTAGGAACTATCTTTTTAAAAGGATTGAACACCGCTCTCACTCCACCATTAATCATTTCTATGGAATTTGCTTCATCGGGAGTATATTCTGCTTCTGAATGCTGCCTTGTTTGAGGTCCATAGGATCTGAATTCTGAAATTTTTTATTTTGAATCAGCCTCTTTTCTTCCCTTTCTTTTCCTCGTTATCTTTTTTCTCTTTGTGCTTTTCTTTTTAACGTGGTAATCATAAATAATTAATATTTTAAAGAATACATTATTGCCATTATAGGTTGGTATATTTTATTGTATGTTTTATCATTACTATTGCTATTACTGTTATATTTACTATGTTTATAAGACTAAATTTTATTTCTAAGGTATGCTCATAAAAGGGGGGTTGAAGCCATGTTTGTACCTTTGAAATAAATAAAAACATTATCCAAAAAGCGTCACACCCCTTCTCTAATTTGTGCGTTAAGACCATCACTGATCACTTTGGAAAATGGGTTGCTGCCTGCTGATTGCTGGGCGGTTGCTTCAAAGTGTTATCAGCTCGTTGAAAATGAAACTTTTTATATAACACGACGCCTGTTAATATTATTCGATGAAATTTGTACAAAATGGACAGGGATTTTCTTTTGGCCAGGCAATTACAAAAGGAAGAACACAAAGCTTTGAAACATACAAATAAGCCAGAATCAACGCAAGTAAGTCATTCATGAAAATATGGGATTTTTTACTCAACATTTTGAACTGATAAATTTTAGCTTGAAAGAAAGTTTTATAGGAAAGAAAGAAAATTGTATTGAACACATAAACAAACAATTTTGAAAAAATGATACTTAAAATTTAGCATTTCAACCAACAACTTCTCAGAACTACCTATAATTACAGACACCCATTTTTGAAAGATACTATTTTTGAAAGGTAACCTGATGGCCTGATCTGCACCAAATCATAACAAAAGGTAAACATCGCTAATGACCACAAGGCAAATATTGGGGTCTAAAACCGAAAATGGCTCACTGGTTGTACACGGCAGTAACCCAAAATAACCATTGGATCAATAATCTGGTGGACCAAAAACTAGCTACTCAAACACTATACAGCATACACCAGAATGGCAAACTTATGTATCACAGGGGCAATGGGAACTAGAAACTCTTTTAAACCTACCTCCACTGGAAACATTCATACAAGGAGAAGCTAGGAAAAGCTCATTTAGGTTCCATAAACAATCAAATTGTATGGGGACTAAACAGTTTGGGCACACACCCATAATCAATAAAATCAGACACCCATTCTTAGAAATGGAGACTGACTATATGACCCCAGAAACGTTCTTTGCAACATCCTATAAAATCTCAACAGACTATAAAGGAGAGGAAGAACACAGGGGAGCATCAGATACAATTATATGGTATGCAGATGGCTCCAAAACAAATGAAGGAATGGATTGGGCATTTTCTGTACAAGCCCAAAATATGAGCAATCAAACTCATTTCGGAAGTACACTTCGGTCTTTCAAGTAGCAATACATGCCATCAATACTTGTGCCCTGTGAAATCTTAAAAGAGGTGTGCAAAAAAATCCTCATAAGATCTAAAGGCCAAGCAACCATTAAAGCATTAGCATGTAAAAGAATAACATTCAACTTAGACAGTGTGAATGCATCCAAAATCTCCAAAACCTGGGAAAACACCACAACCTGATATCTTGGATGCCAGAACACAGAAGAATTTTGGGTAACGACAAAGCAGACAGTCTGGCCGGAGGAGGATCTGCAAGACCATACATAGGCCCTGAACCTATACTTGGGACAACAAAAACAAATATAGAATCCTCTATCGCAGAATGGATCCAAATGAAACAAAAGGAGAAGTGGATAATTTCTTGCGGTGCTAGACATAGTAAACTTATGATGAAACAACCCTCTCCAAGACTGGTAAAAGCACTGCTGCAATTGGAGAGGGCCAAACTCAGAGGAGTGGTAGGACTACTAACCGGTTACTGGATCTACATCCCTTTTGCAGATTATGTAATGAGGAGGAGGAAACAGCCACTCACATCATCTTCGAATGCGAAGCAACAGCTCAATGGAGATTTAACCTAATGTACGGAAAAAACTTAGGGAATCAAATTGCAGCAGCGACAGTCAATGATCTGATGCTTCTAAGAAGAAGGATTGAGTCTATTGCATTGAACTAAGGAACTAGGAAGGTACAATAAGCCAGAAGGCTGCAGTGCCTGGGGAGTGCAAACCCCGTTTCCTAGTATCCTTATCACCATACCATACCTATATTTCGTGTCCAGCAGAGAAAGGTTGCTCAATGTGTCCAATTGGCTCCATATAGAGAGCATGCAGTAATGCCAACCAACATGAGAATTGCGCTTGAGCACATCAGTTAGTCTCTGGGTCCCTTGTTCCAGTTCTTTGAGGAAGCAGGGTTCTTATATTGTATATAGTACTGATATTGTTGTGTACTCTAGCATGTGTTGAGAGTGAATGTATTGTGTGAGAGGGCTGTACCCCATCGACCCTCAATTAGGTTAGTTATATATGTGTAGAGGGTGATGGAGGAATATCAAGTACCCTGTCACCCTAACAAAGTGAATGTCATTAGTAGGAAACAATGCATTTAAGGAGTGACAAAATGGATGGGTTTGGATTTAGGAACTGATTGTGTTGGAGGCTGAAATGACCTAGCTGTTGATAACCTAACCAAACCTCGGTAGCTCATCAGATTAAGACAATGCCCAACCCAGGACAGTCAACACCCGGGGTGGGTGATACTTGAGGCCTGCCGGTACTTTTTTTTTTTTTTTAATAAAGCTGAAATTGCTATTGGACTGTGTGAAGTGCTCAACTATGTACATGCGAATATAGGTTTGAGCATACAAACCAGTAATCAGTAACTAGAAGTATTTATGTTGAGTAGATGACCATTATGATTAAATTTGTTCGAAGACTGGGATGTTCGGCTAAGTAGATATAGAATAAAAGGAAAGAAAAACTGTTTCTAAGTATGCAGACGTTTTGTCAAATTTATTAACACCTCATGGCATCTGCAGTTTGCCAGCCCATGGTTGAATCTGCATCTACATGTGATTAATTTCCTGTACATAAGAAATAACGCATACTTATGGCTAAATCTTCAAATTTAAACTTGTAACATTGACTGAAAAGCTCAATTATTACCCGCCTTGAAGATGTTAATAAATTGGGTGAAACGTCAGCATACTTATAAACAATTATTTTATTTTATTTTATTCCATATCCACCTGCCTGAGTATCCCAATCTTCAATAGAAGTATTTAAACTCAAAATTGGCACCTTTTGTTAACTGAAAAGCTGATGTATATTTTATGCAGGGTGGGCGACCAAGACCAGAGGGGTTAAATGCCTGCGTAGACTCGTACCTCATCCCTAAAAGGTCTGGGTCTTGGTCGGCTCACGGGTCCTGCATAAACCTCTTGGACCTGTTCACAAACCCTAAGATTTTGAACCATTTTATCTCGGGGAGTGATTTGGTGATGTCCTCTCCTTCAAAAGTTTCAAACCTAGACCTAGCGTGCCTATCACACTCTGAGAGGTAGTGCCTTGCCGTTTCTTCTTTTATTTCGCAGAAGCGGCAAAAGGGATCTGGTAGGATACCCATTACGGAGAGGTGTCTTCTCAGTGGGCAGAGAAAAGCTGTTAAGAAATTCAAATTCTGTTTTCTTGTTTGGATAAAGTTTTTATTCGTTTATGCAAATATTTTGTGAACAGTTCTATTTATTTCTGCATTTGTGTGTTATAGTGTCATTGTGTTTTGTTTGTTCATTTTTACTGTATGTAAATTTATCTAGTTCGGTCATTTCCTGGTAATCCTGGCTAATTTGTTTTACTACCATCTTCAGTGGTGGGTCGTCTTCAAATCTTTCTGTTGGATGACCATCAATCAAACATTACCAAACTACAGGCTCGTTACTGATACCTAATCAACAAATCTCATGTTTATGTTGGCTCATTTGCACGGATTTAATTTTTTAGAAGAAATCAATATCCATTGTGGACCCAGAATGGGAAAACATCGATCCTACGCCCAATATATATAACTTATTTCAAATATTCGACAAAAAATACTTCTGGAATTCTCTCGGGAGTGTTGAAGTGAAATGGAGCCCGAGGATGTACAGGTCCAGCATCTTTTATATAAACTTTATATTCCAAAGTTCTATGTACAATGTAAATGTTTATTTTTAGTTGTGCTGGAATATGCACTTACAAGGGCAAAAGAGGTGGTTGTGTTATCAGTTTGAGCTTGCCTTTATTGAAACTTCGTCCGAGAAAAGATTTAGTGGAAACACTCTTGGTAAGTTTCAATAAATACTTATTTTAACTTTAATTAATTATACTTTTAATCTAAGGACTTGGTTGAGATGAAAACGTTAGATAAGGTTAAAAGTATGTCAATTAATGATTCTTTTTATCTAAGGTCTTGGCTGAGATGAAAAAGTTAGTCTTTGGCTCAATAATTTGCTTAATGAAGTCTCGATAGTTCAAATGGTTAGAGCAGCAGCAAATGAACCAAAGGTCATGGGTTCGAATCCCATTCATAGCACTAACTTTTTCATCTCAACCAAGACCTTAGATAAAAAGAATAATTAATTGAAATTTAATAACATAATATAATATGATCAATTATGACTACTAAACATAATTTATACATTATAATTTTAATATATTATATTATTTTAATATATTAAAATTATAATTAATTAAATAATTAATAAGTAAATTATGATTGCTAAACACATATATGGACTTATTTATGTTGACATTATGTTAATGCTCTTGTTTTTAGCATGAAATGATCCATGCTTATCTGTTTCTTACAAAGAACAATAGGGACCGAGACGGTCATGGGCCTGAATTTCAAAAACACATGAACAGGATCAATAAAGAGTCTGGGACACACATAACGGTACATTTTACTCCTTACAATGAAAAACTTTCTTATTTATTTGTTTTTAAATTTTATTAGATCTACCATTCATTTCATGATGAAGTACGTGTGTATAAAACCCATTGGTGGCGTTGTGATGGTGTTTGCCGAGACCAGAAGCCATTTTATGGCATGGTCAAAAGGTCAATGAACAGAGCTCCTGGGCCAAACGATTTCTGGTTTGCAGACCACCAAGCTCGATGTGGCGGGAAATTTATCAAAATAAAAGAACCAGAGGGATTTAAATCAAGAAATAAAAAATCAAAACTAAATCAAGATGGTAAAATTTTGCAATTATAATAAGATTTTTTTTTTTTTTTAATTGTCAATGTGTTTCAGATACTTTGGGCCAGAAGACTATAGATAAGTTTCTTAGTAATAATAAAAACTTGCCAATTAAGGACAATGTCACAAACAAAATCCATAGTTTCAGTAGTACAGCCGATAAGGTATTTTCCATTAATTTGAATTAATACAACGTTTTCTGTTTACTGTTTTTCTTAAATTATTGTAGGGAGTTGAGCAAGAAAAAGCCTCAAAAAGTCCTATTGTTCCATTTTCCGGTGTTGGGCATGTACTAACCTCTTCGACTGCACCTGCGGACAGATCGAAAAGCAAGCTGCTACAATTATTTGGAAATCAGGCCAAGAGGGTGAAACTAAACAACGGCAATCCTTTAAAAGTTATCGATCTTACTGCGACCCCAAGCACGTCGAATGGCAAGAAACTCAACTGCCCTGTTTGCAACGAGCCAGTTGAAAGTACAGTCATGAATGAACATCTCGACCTTTGTGCTCAATTGGACTCAGTTTTCGAAACATCGAAGTTTGAATTGAGTGATGATGATGACATTGTAGAAGTGGAGAACTTTGACACTAAATGCCCAATATGCAATGCCAGCCTAAACCCAGATGGTGTTAACGAACATTTGGATATATGCATTGGTGTAAATGAAACTATAAACAATTCTTATGGAATTAATGATTTGAGAGAAGATCATATTGTAGAATGCCCATGTTGTGGACATAAATGTCCCATGAATTCAATAAACGAACATATTGATGCATGTTTAAAATAAGTGCCTATTTAATGACTGTGATTTTTTTCTTGTAGTATATATATGTATGATAAATGCTTTTTGTACTGTATTGTTCAATAAAAATATATTGACCAGTTTTGATATTTACCATTATAAGTTAAGGCCATTTGAGAAAATATCGTATTTGATGATGATGATGCTATTAACTGTAACAAGTACTTGCTTGTTGTTGATGCACAATACATGATTCAAATAAATTATTTCATTTCCAAGATGCCAATATGTTATTATTTATATTATATCGAAGAACTTTATTGACATCAAATTAATTTAACACCAAACTTAATTTCCTCCACAAAGTAATTCTTCATAACTCAATTTAATTCTACCATAATTTTTTATGCTATACTTCCCCTCCCCATTTAAAAAAAAAATCACATCACATGAGATATAATATTCCTTGCCTAATATGCCAAGTTCATAAGGCCATAAATAAAAAATAAAACAATCTAAATCTTAAGGTTTTTAAATTCAAATGTAAGTTTGCAAACTTAATAATTAACAACAAATGCTTTGTTTAAATGATTTATTAGTCCTTCCAAGCCAAGTGGTATCGCCCATATTTAATGTTCATCCTCTCCCAAAATGTTTTCCAATTGTGTAAATAATTCATGGAAAGACTTGATTGGGGGGCGTGATACAGTTGGCTTATTGGATTTTTGCTGTTTTTTCGATATGCATCCACTTAAAGTTGTAGATGTTAAAGAGTTAGATGAACTTTCATCACTACTGGTAAGGTTATCACTTTTATTGAGAGAACGTGCAGAAATTTGTGGAGGTGAGAAGACGTGGCTCTTTGAGGGGCTAGTTAGTGTTTCCTGAGGTCTGTGTTTCACACTGTTGTTAGAATTCACACTTTCAATTGCCTTTTTGGTGTTATTAGTTCCGTGATTTTCTGCTTTTACTGAATTGAACTTGTTGGTGCTAGCTTTTCCAGAATGCTCAGGGTGATGTGTTTTGTGTTGTACAGTTGGCTTATTGGATTTTTGCTGTTTTTTCGATGTGGATCCGCTTAAAGTTGAAAACAAAGAGTTAGATGAACTTTCATCTCTACTTGTAAGGTTATCACTTTTATTGAGATAATGTGCAGAAATTTGTGGAGGTGAGAAGACTCTCAAGCTCTTTGGTGGGGTAGTTAGTGTTTCCTGAGGTCTGGGTTTCATACTGTTGCTAGAATACACACTTTCAATTGCCTTTTTCATGTTATTAGTTCCATGATTTTCTGCTTTTTCTGTACTGTACTTGTTGGTGTTATCTTTTTCAGAATGCTCAGGGTTATGTGTTTTGTGTTGTACAGTTGGCTTATTGGATTTTTGCTGTTTGTTCGATGTGGATCCGCTTAAAGTTGAAGACAAAGATTTAGATGAACTTTCATCTCTACTTGTAAGGTTTTCACTTTTATTGATAGAATGTGCAGAAATTTGTGGAGGTGAGAAGACTCTCAAGCTCTTTGGTGGGGTAGTTAGTGTTTCCTGAGGTCTGGGTGTCTCACTGTTGTTAGAATACACACTTTCAATTGCCTTTTTGGTGTTATTAGTTCCGTGACTTTCTGCGTTTTCATCCATTGCAGAATCTTGAGAGTGTGTTTTGCAGTTATTTGCCATGTTGGTGTTGTACTCATTTGTGTTATCTGTTCTGAAGTCAGTTGTGTGTTCTGTGTCGCATTTAGTTTTGAAGTCAGTTGTGTCTTCTGTGTTGTCGTGGGTGTTATATGTTTCACAATGGTCAAGTTGCTTAGTTTCATAGTCTCTGGTGTTATTGATGCCAATCACACTTTTCTGACTGGATGGCTCAGCAATACGCTGAAGAGGGGAGAAGGCCGATACTACAATTGATTTAACTAAATCAACACATGTTGTTATTGAATTGCTTAGTTCGATATCAATATATCGAATACTCCTTTTTCTGTTTGGACATTTCTCTGCATAATAAATCATCATTTCAAAGTCTTCATCTAGCCCATCCACAGCAACCATCATTTTTAATTCTTTTATTTTTCTATGTTTTTGGTGCATTTGGCTTTGGTCAATATGCTTGCTAAAATCACTTGATTCAATTGCATACATTCTACGTGAATCATTTCTTTGAGATATATGTCTGAGCATGGATTTTTCAATCTGTCTATTTCTTTTATTTCTGATCTGACTGGCGTCGGAAGACATTTCATCATTGGAAGAATCAGGACTTGAAAAGTCTTGTTGTCTCGTACTCCAAGATCCGGTTGAATCATATGTACATGTTGATTCCATCACACTCGAGTCATTGCCTTCATCCCAAGTAGATTCTTCACTTACAGAATTCATAAATTTATTGTGGCTTTCAATGGACTTTTTTCGACCATCGCACGAAATCTTTTTCCAAAAATTCCGATAAGTTTCAGCGTCATGATTAATGTCAGATAATTTTCTTTTTTTATACACTGGACGAGATAGAGTTGAACATGTGGTGTCTGTGCTAGACATTTCACCAGTACTCATGCATGAATTATCTGACTGCACATTTTGTGGTATTTCTTTCAATAAGGTTAGGCCTAAATCATCTTGATTGCTTAGCACAAGTGATCTTTTAGGACAGGCATGAATGTTCATTGAACATTCGTCATCAATTGCAGGAGGCAAAGAAGTCCGAAATCTTGGTCTCATTTCTTTGTTTAAATCTTTAGTAAGAAATTGGCTACTATTCGTTACTTTTTCATTATGCAAAGCTGACATTGATTTAAGTTCTTTGCTAATTTCTTGATTATTTATGTTTGTTGGCACTGATTTGGAGATCAAACGATGCTTTTTTGGAATGTGATATGCATCTAAAAAATAGAAAATAAAATTAACAAAAATAAAAGAATATGTTCAAAATATTTTATAATTTAATGAAAAAATAACAAAAACTGTATCTATAGCAAGCACCCCCTTACAAAATATTTAATTTTAATAGTTTACTCAGTAGAGTAATAAATAATCAAAATTCACCTATGATCCTTCCAGCCATAATTTCACTTTCTTTTGGCGCAACACAATTGTTAGTACATTTAATTGTTTTTTCTGTGCAGCTCAGCTCGATAGCTTTTGTCCTAGATGTCTCAACCTGCATGTTCCTTTCTTTATCATTTTTCTTTATTTTGGGTTTTGTCTTTTTTCCTGTTTGAGTCTGTCCTATGTCCATACATACAAAGTTGTTTGCTGCTAAGATGGTTGTTTGAGAATATTGACTCCTCACGTCTATTTCTTCAGTTTGCACAGTCCCATCTACTGTGCTGGACGATTTGACTGTTTGAACAGCAACATCTGATGTTTTTGTAAATTTTCTGTCTGGTTCACCTGTCGGTCTTGTTCTTGCTATTGGGACAAAATGCTCATCCAGGCAGTTCAGATCACCTTTTGTGGATGGTGTATCATAATTCTGAATGATGTGTGAGCAGAAATAGTTTTTATCTAAGTAATTTTGTCTCTTTTGGCCATATGAGTGTTGCTTTCTATTTTCTCTGAAAATAATTTGATTCTTGTCATTGTATGTAGAAGAAATATCAGTTGGCCTTTTTCGATTATGTTTATATGTTTCTGTACCAATAATTTGTTGATGCAAGATAGGTAAATTTTGGATTGGTTTGTCATAGTCAAATGCTTTCATTTCATATGGAAAGCGAGCAAAAACATTTTTTTCAATGGTATGAGAACATTTTTTTTGCTTACAATGTTGCGATGCCAGTTTCGTGCTATGCACCGTTGTAATTATACTGGAATTAGTCGTTGGGCTTTCTACGGGTTTGCTGTTTTTTGTAGTATTATTAGGTCTATTTTCAATCGATATTCTACTGGATAACTTACTGCATTCAGCAATTGAAGACTCAGTAATTTTACTCAAATTACAGCCCACAATGCCATAATCCTGTTTTTGTTGGTTTATAAGAGGTCTCTTTTCGAGGTTGTTCATCCCGAATAGGTTTCTCATTTTGTCGTATGTTTAAATCACCGATACAACAGTTAAGAAAACGCTGTTGAATTAGATCTTTCAAACAGAATAATCGTTGTCAAGGATACGAGAAAAAATAAAACAAATGAATATCTTTAATTATGTATTAAAAAATTTTATTATAAAAAGATTAACATGAGATAAGGTAAATTATTTGGAAAAACTATTTAACTTTTAAATTTTTATTGTGTATTTTTATAACCATTTAAACACAGTTAAAAAATGTATATACTATACCTGATCTCATTTCATTTTTTTTGTCATATTATAATTATTCATTTATTTTATTCAATCTGGTTTCCTTGACAATGATTATTCAAAAAGAATAATAATGAATCATAAAAGAACTGATTCAACATTATTTTCTTAATTGCTGCATCTGTAATTTGAACACAGGAAAAATGAGCAGCCTGCAGGCAGTATAACATTGGAAAGAGACAGCAAAAACATCATCACACAAGTCCAATTACTGATCAACCCGTTGCTGAAAAGAGCAAGAGTTCCATTGGAATTTTAATTGAAAAAAAAGCATTTTGGAATTGTGAAAAGTAGCAGGTTGATGTTGATAGCTTGGTTCAGCCAGCTCAAAGTCCAGATTTGAATCCAATCGAACACACTTGGGACCAACTTAAGCGATGACTAAACATAGGTCCTAACACCCTAGAATGGTTGAGATCAGCTGTTCTTGATGAATGGGAAAGCATTTCTCAGGATTTTATCAGAAATTTTTTCCAAGGAATTCAAAGGTGTTTAATAGGTGTGATTTGTACAGAGGTACGAGGTAATACTCGCTATGGGACAAAAAAGGTTTTTTTAAATTTTTGTTTTTGAATTTTCTGGTTTTTTCTTTACTTATAATTGTTTTTAGATTTTATTTTGACCCTGATAATGACTGCTACCAGCGAAGGGGATACCTACAACAATCATTTTATACTGTGTATTCTTATACTGTGGCCCCTCCAGGTTGTGGATAAAAACCATTACATCTCAATTGGCTTGGAAAAGTTCACATACCCCAGGTCACATGGGCTAACTTTGACTGATGGGAACCATCCCTCGATAGGATTCAGGCCCCTCGTCCCTCACCCAAGGTGACTTAGATATCCACTTTGACCCAGCAGGGTGATCTTTCCTTTTCCGCCTGAGTAAGGCTATATGTTTTGCATGATGTCTATTAATATATGCTCATAATTACCAATCCCTATTCAAAAGTTTCTCAGTTAAGAGACGATACTTCCACTGTCTGTCAGAATGCAGATCTTTACACAATCCAAACAAGCAGCATGTTCTAAAGCTTGCAAACACTTGCAAAGCCTTGGAAGACATTACTGTTTTTTAAACTTTCTTTGGTGATCATAAAAAGCAAATCCCGTGCTTCCGTCCATTTTAGATCCATCAGCAAAGATAAGGAAGAGTCTGAACATTTTTCATCTATACCCGATCTGAATATTTTCTCAGTTAAATTGAGAGGGTATTTCATGTAGTACATAAGTTCATATCATTTTATCTTGTTAATAATTTAAGTTTTTTAGAATTAGGTAATTTTTTTTTTAATGTCTTATTTTTACAACCAAACCTATTTTTCATCTTTATAAAAAGATGTGAGCACACACTGCTCCTAACTGTGAGTAGGAATTATATTTTTATAAAGATTGAACAACCTACTCACTCCACCATTTAGCATTTCTATAAACCTATTTTGGTATATAAAAAATAAATATACCTAAATACATTAAAATTTAAGAGAGATATATATTTTGTCCATCAGTGTATAGCAAGTTTTTACAAACTTTTGGATACAATTTCTGGACCGATTGATATCTGAGATCTAGTAGAAATAGTCTAATACATCGATACTCAAACTTACAACTAACACCTCCACTGGTAAGTGAAAATGTAAAAACCAGTTAAGGCACCTGCTTTTTCAAATTTTTTAGATATTTCACCAGTTTTACAAAGACAGTTTTACATTTTGGGTACAATTTCTGGATTGATCGGCATCTGAGAAATGGTAGAAATAGTCGAATACATCAATACTAAACTTACAACTAACACCTCCACTGATAGGTGAAAATCTAAAAACAAATTAAAACATCTACTTTTTCAATTTTTTTTATATTTTTCTCTACTTTTCAAGAGTTTTTGGGTACAATTCCTGGATCTATTGGTATCTGCGATCTAGTAGAAATAGTGTAATACATCAATACTCAATCTTGCAACTAACACCTCCACCGGCAATTGAAAATCTAAAAACCCGCTAAAACACCTACTTTTCCAAATTTTTTTTACATTTTGGGTACAATTTCTGGACTGATCGGTATCTGAGCTCTAGTAGAAATAGACTAATACATCAATAATCAAACTTACACCTAACACCTCCACTGGTAGGTGAAAATCTAAAAACCAGTTAAAACTTCTACTTTTTCTAATTTTTTTATTTTTCAATGCTTTTTCAAATTTTTTTACATTTTGGGTACAATTTCTGGAGCGACCGGTATCTGAGATCTAGTACAAATAGTCTAATACATCAATACTCAAACTTAAAACAACTCTTTCAAAAATCAGCCCGGATCTGATACCTCCATTGCTTATTATAAAACACAACATGCACTCAATTTTTACACATATGTGTGTTTGTACGTAATGTTTAAGAAGTTGAGTTTTATAATCAATCAATCAATCAATTTGCATATGTTAAATTTTTTGTTTTGAATTTTATTTTAAATTTATTCGTTTAGAAAGGTTTGATATTTTTTTCATAAAGAAGGAAATCTTGTTTTTTTATTGTGAAACTTTTTGTGAGACGCGGCGAAAAGCTGCCAAATTTAAGTTTGAAGTTGAGTAAGCCGCTGCTCGCGTCACTGCCTTTCGTATCTCGCCTGACACGTGCGCATCCACAAAAGACGGTCTTAATCCAAATGTTTTGATTAACTAAAAAAAACAAAAAAAACATAAATCCCCTGGAAATTAGTTCATTCGTCGTCTTCAAATTATAAAATTCTTATTTCCAAAAGGAAAACTAGGTTGCGAAAGTGGGAAAATCCCGTCCCCACCAAGCCCGCCGCTTCGCCTCGCGTCAAGGATCTCAATCTGAGAGACAAGATGGCCAAGTGAAAATCCTTATTGTTTTTATCAGTCTGACTTAAACGCAAAAATGTTTGCCGCAGAGGAAATATCCGCCACTAAATACGTTCTCGGTTCAAATTTTAAGAGTAAGAACGTCGATAACTTTTTGAGAGACGAGAGTATTTTTATAGAGACACCAGCCTTCGACAAAGTGAGAGGATACGTTCAGGAAATAAAACCCAGGAGGAAAATTTCAGGTATTTTTTCTCACGCGATAATCGAAGGATCTCGGAATTGCGCCGTTACGTTTCCATGTAGAAGCCGTAATATACGTATTAATAGATTTATTCCGAGCGACAGATCGCCTTGTAAGCGTATGTCTTGTTAAAAGCGTTTGTATCATATAACGACCGATTTTGTACATAAATAAAAAGCGAATTAGAAGATTAATAATAAAAATAAAATGGATTTTCAAAGTTTCCACCAGAGAAACGGAAACAAGAACTTATTCGGACAGTACCTGGGTCGGGGTTCGTTCGTCGAGCCGAGGTGTTTTTCAACAAAGTCCGAAAACCTTCTGAAGATGACGGACCAGATCGCGAGCGTCAGTGTAATCGCTACGAGGGCGATCGTCGTCGGCGGCTTCATCGGGAGCAAGAGCCAGGTCGGCTCGACACAGCGAGGCAGCGAAGTCTTCATATGCGACATCGTCGAAAAGATCACCGAGAATATCCTGAGGGAGCCGGGCGAGACGTCGGCCCGCGACCCTCCGCCGGCCAGGACCTGCAACCGCAACGTCTCCGAGTCGTCGACCGACAGTGACGACAGTTTCATCGTCTTCGATGACGGCTGCCAGGACGAGGACGACACGGAAGAAATCGACGACGACGATGACGATGACGTTTCTAGCGATGATGATGATACTGTGATATTTCAAGACTTGTGCGATAGCTCTTCAGTAAGCGAATTCAGTGATTTTGAACGAGTAAGTATTTCCTATCTCTCATGTACTCCCCAATTTCATACAAAGTCCCATTATTCCGTTAAATAATGCTAAGTTTTTCTTTTTCTGAACCTGTCAAAAATTACCTCTTACCCAATTAAGAATAGGTCTTGCAAGGTTGACTTACTACTTTGTTATGTGAAAATTATTTCCTTCAAAATGTTTCCATTGCCAAGCAGCGAAAGTGCAATTAGCTTTTACCCACGATTTCATCTTCGCAAGACTGTTTTTAATGTACTTATCTAATGCGATGCAAAGTGCTAGTGAGGCTTTCTAATATAATGTCTCAAGTTCTAATATATGTTTCTCAAGTTCAGTTCACTTTGGTCATGGTAAAAAACTTGTCCATATGATCCACTTAAGGTTGGAATTTCAAAAAATCTTAGCGGACAACCATGTCATTGTAAGATGGAATGTCAAAATTTCAGCCCTTTAGATCCAGCAGTTTGGTCTATGCGTTGTCTCAGCCAGTCACATTTTATGTATATAAACAAGGATGGGATTTAAAAAAAAGAAATCTCTTAGCCGTATCCATTTAATTATAGAAATGAACTGCAGAAACTTCAGCCCTTTAGATAGATCCAGTGGTTTGGTCTGTGCATTGGCAGTCATTCACGGAACTGTTTTATATATATACAGAAGAAAGGGATGGAATTTCAAAAATATCTTTTTTACTGGCTATCCATGTCATTATAGGAATGGACTGTTGAAATGTCAGCCCTTTAAATCCAGCAGTTTGATCTGCATGTTGTTTGTCTGTCAGTCAGTCACAGTACTGCCTTATGTAGAAGAAAAAATAATTTTATTCTGGAACTGGTGTCCCTTAAGAATATAAATAAATATTCTTTATAAATAAAAGAAGTTCCTTCTATGAAATTAAAAATAAAATGAAATAAAAATCTTGGCACAGTGTATACAAGTAAGGCAAGACATAAGAAAACATAACAAGAATATTAAACAAAAATATCAAAT